TCTATATCTGGCCTAACCTGGCTGATCCTGGGAGACACCTACTTGGAGGTCTTCGTCGGAAGGACTGGGGGGAAGCCCCGCTGGGGGGGGGGGCTGCTACGCCCGATGAGGCCGCGGATGAAGCGGGACGAAGCTGGATTCCACAGGACTAAGCCGCATGGAACGGGATCAGGCCAGATGAAGCCGGATTTCGGGCCAGGGCAAAGCCAGAATTTGACCTCCCAGGAGTTGCACACGAACTTATATAAGTGGGTTGCACACGCCCCGAGTGGCTTGGGGATCTCGGATAACTCCGATCAGTGGGCGGAGCCCACTTATGCCGCATCAGTCACCCTCTAAGCTAGGAGGAAGAAGAGGAGGAGGAGGACGAGCAGGGGGAGGAGGAGGAGGACGAGGAGGGGGAGGAGGAGCAGGAGGAGGGAAAGGACAAGACCGCGGGAGAACCGCCAGCCTCCAACGCACCGCCCACACCGGCAGCAGCGCGTCGAGCGCCGCCATGGCGGGCGCGCGCGGCGCCCGCGCATGCGCGCGCGGGGCCGCGACGGCCGCGCCGGCGCGGCGAGCGCCTGGATTTATGTTGCTCCCATCGCACTTCAGGACCACATCCCAGAAATAATTTCGAGCACCCAGAAAAGTGTCGAGCAGGTGTCAAAACAGTGTCGAACGAGTGTCTCCCAGGGCCCGACACGTGAAAATCCTCGAGTTTCGGCTCTTTGTTGGTGCTCGAAATTCTCTCTGATGATCCAGGCTAAAGTAGGTTGGAATATCATAAGCCTGGACTGCGCAGGGGAGGGAGTTCATGGCTCTCCTGTCTGGTGGCGACACCCAAACCCTACTGCCCTAGATGGGAAAATCTGCTGCTCCCTTCGGGCTTCGCAGGGTACGTTCCCATCTTGGGGGGCGACTGGGCGGGATGGTGGGGCTGAGAAACCACGGGCCACTGAGGATGGTAGGTGGCGACATCCGAACCCTAAGCCCACCAGCCATCGATTCCCCTGGACCGATAGGAAACGCAGGGATCGGATTCCGCCACGTGTTCGACGAATGCCGAACCCTTCCCCCCGCCGCCCATCGGTTGCCTGACTCGTCGACCAGCGAGGGTAGAGGTCGGACGCCGCCCTCCTGTGTGGGATTAATAAGTACTGTCCGCTTGCCGACGGCCGTTCGGCTGTTTTCTGACAGCTGCGTCGGTGATCGACGATGTTGCAGCTACAGTTGAGTCGGGCGTGTCCCCCTACAGGGGGATTTTCGACGAAAGATTAAAAGTACCCTGAAAAATACCTCGAAATGGTGTAGATGTATGACACAATGAAACCAAAAATACTCAGACAAGCGTCCCGAGAGTATCTTTTTACTATTTTTGAATTTTCCCCCTGTAGAGGGACACGCCCGACTTAAAGCTACAAGGAGCTCTCCAACAGCTGCGCCTCGCCGACGGCGTTCCAAGGAGCGCGGCGCGCGCCAGGGAGTCCGGCGCCCGAGGCGCTGCCAGGGCGTCCGGCGCCGGTGCAAGACATCCGCGCGGAGCCCCGAAAGTTTGTGCTTGTCCAGTTTTCTGTTGCCCCTCGGGAAGATCATTAACTCAGCCCCATGCTGGTCCGAAAATGTCGAAGGCGCCTCGGAAACTCGACGGACACGGTCGGGCCCCGGGACGATCGGACGGGCCTGGGTAGAGAAGCAGATCCCAGGCTGAGGCCAGCCAGGACAGCCTGGGGGTCTGTCTGCGCGCAACCCGGAACCTTGAAGGGGCCCTGAGACACACAAATAAAGATACACAAATAACAGGATTCCCCATATTTTCGTAGATGTTCTTGGTTTTTGTCTTCCCCCCCACTTCCCATACTTTCCCACATTTTCTGGGGAATCGAGGATTCATCGTGTCTGTGTGTTCTTTACCTCCTGAAACCTTACCACATGCGCATCGGGATCTCCGACGGTGTGAGACTTCCGTGCGGGCGTGCCTCGTCGGTGTCGGCCCCTGGGGCCCGGGCCCTGGGACTGGCAGGACTAATCCAGGTCGGGAAACAAAGGACGACTTGCCGTCGCTCGGACGTCCATTTCCCGTGCATTGTTCGGTTTCGTGCGTGTTTTTGTTTGCTCGATGATCCAGGATGGTCATCAATGGTTCTCGCAGAAAAAATGCAGACGTCCGAGCGATGCCAAGACGACCAATTCACCCTGAACAATGTCTTCCGCGACGACATCATCCGGAGCAACGCTCTTCTGGACGAACTCGGCTGGATGAAATTATCCAGAAGACCTCGTCTGGATGAACTCCCGGATGAGCTCGGTTTCCAAGGAGCTCGTCTGACAGAAATCGTCCCGACGAATCCGTCAGGATGAACTCGTCTCGGATGAACACGTCCGGATAAATCCGTCTCGGATGAACTCGTCCGGATGAAACGGTGGGCATTAAAACTACCCCTGTGGATGGGGCAACCACAAGGTACTGATACCGATGCTCTCCTGACCTTTCCCGGGCCGCGTTCTGACCAGACCTTCGAGGCGAATCCAGCGATGGCGACGAGGGAATCCAAGGAGGCCATAAAGAAGCAAACGAGGGAAGGGTAGAGGTATGGGTACCTCTTGCTCCTCTGAAGGGGAAGGGGTCGAGACCTCTGGGGCCGCGCGGTGAACAGCCCACGTCGCGAATGTCTGGGCCAAGCTGCGCAGCAGAGAGGGGACTCCCGGCCCTCCCCCCGAGCGGGCTGGGTTCGTCATCTCTCTTTTTCTCTCTCTCTCTCTCTCTCTCTCTCTCTCGTCCTCTCCCTCCGCAGCGCCGCGCGCGCGCTTTCTTCTTCCTCCTCCTCCTCCTCCTCCTCCTCCTCCTCCTCCTCCTCCTCCTCCTCCTCCTCCTCCTCCTCCTCCTCCTCCTCCTGAGGGAACGGGACCCGCAGCGAATCAGGCTGCGCTCTCCTTCCTGCCGCGCGCGCCCGAGGGCAGTGCTCCCGCCGTGCCACTGTGCTCAGGAACCCTGCGAGCCGGCAGGCGGCGGCAGGGCAGGTTCGCTGAGGAGGAGGAGGAGGAGGACGACGACGACGACGACAACGACGAGGCGGAGGAGGAGGAGGCGGAGGAGGAGGAGGAGGAGGAGGAGGAGGAGGAGGAGGGCGACGAGGGGGAGGAGGAGGAGGAAGAGGAGGAGAAGGACGACGAGGCGGAGGAGGAGGAGGAGGAGGAGGAGGAGGAGGAGGAGGAGGAGGAGGAGGAGGAGGAGGAGGAGGAGGAGGAGGAGAGGGGAGGGGAGGGGAGGAGGAGGGGAGAGGCCGAAGGATGCATAGCGGCCACGAGATGGGCAACTCCCGGAGCCCAAGGTCGCGGGCGCGGCGCCGCCCCTTCTCTCGCCGCCGGAGCGCACAAACGCCCGTCCGCCCCGCAGGGACGCCCGCCCGCCCGCCGACCCAGACGTCCGACGAGGGCAGCTCTGCCTGTGCGCGGCCCCAGCGAAGGCGAAGCCAGGATTAGGCCGGGCGTGTCCCCCTACAGGCAGATTTTGGACGAAAAATACAAAAATACCCCGAAAATACCCCAAAGTTGTCAAAAATAATCAAGAAATAGTCCCCATATTATTTTTTGAATATTTTTGAACATTCCTCATGTACAGGGACACGCCCGACTTAAAGCCAGGACTGGGTGCGAATCGATGGGGGAGGAGATGAATAGGGGGGGGGAAGGAAGGTATACTCCTCTCGGATCCCAGAGGCCCCCCCTGGGGCCCCAAATGGCCCCTTCAGGGGCCCCAAAGGGGCCCTGTTCTGCAACCCTCGCTGCCCCTGCCCCCCCCCCCCTTGATCGCCCACCCGTCGCCCGCCCTCCGACAGGACAGGGTCAAAATCGGACCTGGACACATCGGAGATCTCCGAGATCCGACGGCCCTCGAGAGTGCATGGGGCGCCGCGGCCGTTCCGGAGCGCTCCAGGGGAGCGTTCCGGGACGCTCCACGGGAGCGTTCCAGCACGCTCCATGCAGCGATGTATCTCCCCGTCCTGGGCCCGCCCTACCAGAGGCCCCGACCCCTTCCCTGGGGTCTGCAGGAGGAGGAGGAGGCGGCGGAGGAGGAGAAGAAGCAGGAGGAGGAGGACGAGGAGGAGGAGGAGGAGGAGGAGGCGGAGGAGGGGCTGATCTTTCGTCCCACATCCAGTTCTGATGGCCCCGGGCAAAATAACACACCCCTGATGCGGAAATCCACCCTGAGATCCGACGTGGCAGCAAACAAATGCAACAGATCGTGAAAAATCAAGACCAAAGCCCCCGGACCCAATGCTGCTGCGCCACTTCTGGGGCCGGATCGATCTGTGCGGGCACAATACATCCGACGGGAACGCCCCGCTCGAAAAAATCGGCGGGCCGGGATCTCAGGGCAGGGAAGACGCCCTGGTCGGAAAACCATATCGTCGGACATCTGGGGAGGTCTTCACCGCGCCACCGCGCGCGCCCCCCGGGCCGCGGCGCAGCCGCGGCGCGGCGCCAGCGCACAGGTCCCGAGGGCGGCCCGAGCGGCGCTGCAGCGGCTCTCGTCGCAGCGGGCACCTCCGTCTCTCAAGGCCTCCCCGAGGGGATTCGAGCACAATGGGGGCCCGACCACGAGAAACCCTCCACGAGAAGTCTCCTCCTCCTCCTCCTCCTCCTCCTCCCTCCCTCCTCCTCCTCCTTCCTCCTGCTCCTCCTCCTCCTCCTCCTCCTCCTCCTCCTCCTCCTCCTCCTCCTCCTCCTCCTCCTCCTCCTCCTCCCCCCCCTCCTCCTCCTCCTCCTCCGACCTCAGGACGTGCATGGGTTTCTAGTGTGGGGGCGTCGTCACGCCTTGCACCTCAAGGCCATCGACGCCCAGGAAACCCAGGCACGCTGGAGGCAAGCAGGGTGCTTCTTGGCATGGGCTTCCACTGCAGATGGGGTCGGAGGACCACGCCGCCTCGCCGATGAATTAGCGACGCATCGGCGATGCATCCGCGACGTCGGCGATGCATCGGCGACGTCAGGGTGGAGAAACTCGGGCCTCATCGAGCCGCATCGGCGACGTACATCGGAGATGCGGCGCAATCCTCCGACCCCATCGAGTCCGACCCATCTGTCCTCCGACCTCTAGGAACCTCAGATTTTCGCAGATGCATGTACATCCCGCGCACTCCTCGGAGCTCCGACGGAGCACCCGTTCTGGGTCGAGATCACCTCTGCAACCGGCCCCCTGCTCGATTCTGGTCGGGCGTTGGCAGAACTGGGTTTACTGGAACCTGGTTTAGGGATGTGTACCGGGGGGCGCTCCCCCCGCCCCGTGCCGCTGACCGGAACTGCCGCCACCCGAAAAACACCAGGTAAACCTGGCTTAGTGCATCTGGCCAATTGAGGGGCCCCAGGGCCCTACCATCGGGAGCGGCCAAGAGGGGGGTGTCCAAGAGGGGGGGGGGCAAATCATGACCGGCGGCATGTGCGCGGCCCAGCGGGGCGGCCTGGGACGTAATGAAATAAGAAGAGGCGCCACGAAATCTGGGGCAATATCATGGCCCCCGCCATGATATCCACCCCCCCCTAGTCATCACCCCCCTCTTTTCCGCCCCCGACTACCACTACCCGGGTCCCCTTACCCGGGGTCCTGGCTATAGGCTATACCCGATCCTGGGAGGCCTCAGACCTCCGCCTCACAGGAACGCCACCTGAAAAACACCGGTTACGGCAAACCTGGTTTCGTGAATCTGGCCAATCTTAACGGGCAAAAAACGGTATAACATAAACTTTTTCGCTGTTGTGGGCGCCTGTCCCTGGGCGGCTGGAAAATTTAAATCCTTACGGTGGCACCGTAGGGGTATAAACTTTCCATCCGCCCAGGGACAGGCGCCCCCGACAGCGAAAAAAAGTTTATTTTATACCGTTCTTCGCTCGCTGATATACCCGATTCTGGGAGGCCTCGGACCTCCGCCTCACAGGAAGGCCCGCCCGCGCGTGGCGCGCGCCGCCCCGCCGCGCCACCGCCGGCGCGGCGCCGCCGCGGCGCGGCGCGGCGACGGCGCGGCGGGCGGCCGCGCAGCCTGGCGAGACTGCGCCGGGCGCTGCGGGAGGGCGCCGGGGCCGCCGGCGGCCAGCAGCGCCTGCGGCGGCGCGAGGCCGGCCTGCCTCTTTGGACGCCCGAAATGGGTACAGAAACACTGGGTACACTGCCCAACCACAAATGTTGTCCCAAGCCAACAGCGGCCGCTGTTGGGCAGGCGGCCTTCTGTCTCGAATGGATGCAGGCCGCGGCGGCGTGGACAGCGAATCCTGTTCAAAAGGAACAGGAACTGCTATTGGGCATTGTACGCATTCTTTCCGTACCCATTTCGGGCGTCCAGAGCCTCCACGGCGGGCTGAAGTTCTCGGGGGCCCCCGGCGGAAGGAGGTCCTCCGGGAAGGCTCGAGGAGATGCTGCGGAGTTCCAAGGAGACGAAGCAGCATGTGCAAGAGAGAGGGAGAGAAGGGGGGGGGAGCGATGGAGCCACGAACCCCGACCTCGGAGCGCAGGTGGGCAGCAGCTGCGAAACAGAAAAAGGTTTGGAGGGGGATTCGGGCAGGGCGTCTCACCGGCCACCGCGCCGCGAGGGTTTTCCTCCCGTCGCCGCCACACGCGCACGTGCCGACTGCCGCCGTGCTGGGAGTGTCCGCGTCAACCTTCCGTCCGTCACCTCGTGGCGGAGTCGTGCTTGTGGTGCGGACGGGGGTGGGCGCAGAAGCCATCAATTTGTCCTTCGGGTGTTGTGGGGGCCCTGGTGCGGCGTTGTGAAACCTGTTTCCAGGCCTGTAGTACTATGTGTCCCCCTTGGAGGCGTGCGTCTGATCGGGGCATGGAGCAAAACCATATCGTAGTGCATCGTTTCCCGAGCAGAACGGCCAGCAAGCGCCCGCCACCGAACGTATGCTAGATTTCTCAGCGCGCGCGTCGCCCCTGGGGTGCAGACGCACACTTGGTAATGCACGTAGCACACCGCATTTGCGGGTAAGACTGAGGGGGCGGCGGCGGGGGCGAAAAGTATTCCCCCACCCATTACCTCCAACGGTTGCTCCCATGTTTTGCCCCAAGGGTTGCTCACACGTGTTGCCTCCAAGTATGAACATCATGCATTGCCCCCACGTGTCGCCCCTACTGATTGCCCGAGTATCGCCCCCAAGTATCGCCCCCATGTATTGCCCCCATGCATTGCCCCAGGTTGCAAGTATCGCCCCCTTGTCCTGCCCCCAAGTATCGTCCCCGTGTATCGCCTCCACATACTTCCCGCGCCCATGCATTGCCCCCAAGTACAGCCCCCATGTATCGCCCCCATGAATTGCCCCCGTGTGTTGCTCCCGAGTATCGTCCCAACGTATTGCCCCCACGCATAGCCCCAGAAACGGAGCCCTCCATCCGGCCACGCGCACGCAGGGAAGAAGTAACATCGTTATGGCCCTCTCACTCTTATGATTGGGTGGTGTCGAGGTCCTCGTTGAAGGGCGCGCTCAGGTCCACTGTGCAGGCACCCTTCGTTAGGAAGCAACTGCTGGGAAATCTTCGCATGGACGATGAATGGCTGTTAAGCTCGATAGGGTGGCCACTAGGCCAGATCAGGCAGGATAAAGCCTGGCACTGAGCCAGACTAAGCCGGATGCAGCGAGGTAAGGCAGGATTAAGCAGGGCAAAACGGGATTATGATGGATTCGGCCAGTCCTCGACCACGGACATACCAGCGCCGATGCTGACCCTAACCACCCAGGAGTTGCACCCTAACCTTCGTGGAAAAGAGCCGCTCCAGCTTCAGCTCGCCAAGCACCCGCCGGCGCAGGTGCGCGCACTGCAGCACGTGGTCGGAGTCGTTGGCGGCATCCTTGCAGCCCTTCGCCTCATCGCCCGCAGCGCAATTGCAGTCGGTCGGCGTCAGGGCTTTCCGGTCGTCTACGACCTGAGGGGCACTGGCTGAGGGGGGAACATCGACCTGGCATCGGGCGCTTTCGGTAGTTCTCGGCGGCTTTCAAGCCTCGGGATGCTTCCAGCGGCTGCGCCTCGCCGAGAGCGTTCTGGGGCGTCCGGGATCGTCCCGAACGGCCGCCAGGGGCACGAGTGATGAGCCAAAAACCACCCGGGGACTGGCTCAAAGTGGCGGGGCATCGACCTGGAAGCGGCGATGCCTCGCCGATCGATCGGCACTAGGCGTTCGAGAGCGAGTCCGCACAGTAGGCCGAGCGGGGTGGGCTATAGCAGGCCCCCAGCTGGCGATCTGTGGGCGATGGGGGGGTCGATGCAACGCCCCCTGAGCGCACAGTCGGGGCGTTGACCTAAGGAACCCTAAATAGGGAACGAGGCCCCTGTACTCCATAAGCTGAACTTCGACTCCCATCGAAAGCTTAAGGGAAACCTTAGGAAAGCTGCGAAACAACTAAGGAACACCGAGCCCCCCCCAAACGAAAAGGGTTCCTTCTTCAGCGCCCCCTGAGCGTACCCCTGTCCTCAAGTATATTCGGGCCGCAACTCGGGCCTCCGGCGGCCGCTCGGGACGACCTGGGCACCCCGGGAACGCTCTCGGCAGGGCGCAGCTGCTGGAGAGCATCCCGCGACTGGAAAGCCGCTGAGAATGAACAACAACTCCCCGAAGACCTCCAGCCTGTCGAGCCTGTCCCCCCCCCCCCAAAAAAAACGTTGCCCCCCCCCCAAAAAAAAAAACGTTGCCCCCGATGACCGCACAGCCCTCGATGGTGTCCTTCGGCCTAGACCTCTGGTGGCTCCGACGCTTGAACAGCTGCGGAAGCGCAACGTCCTCGGCCTTCGTACACTTCCCCTTGCTCGCGGTGCTCCCGAGCTCCTTCAGGTCGTCCCTGACCTTGTCGCAGGCCTGGGAGAGGGCCCCAGCGTGCTTCTTCCAGTCGTCGACCGTGGCGGTGGACTCCTAGAGGAACAGAAAACTGCACAGAAAACTGCGCAAACAGAAACTGTTGCAGGTCCACGTAAATTTCCTGTCAGACAGGACATCTTGCAGACGCGATGCATGGATTTGTTTTCCCGGTTCGTCGTTGCTGACCGCCGCTGTCCATGCGTAGCATACTCGCATGGGCACTCGCGTGAACTATCGCGTGAATGCTGGCCGGATTCCGCATGGATGTTTCCCCCTTTTCCAGCGCCTGGATTCCATGTGAGTTTGCATTGCTACGCAGCGGGAGAAGTTCATGCAGAACTCACAGAGGAATACATGCCAAGTGTTGCTTTTATGCTCTATGGCTCGCGCCGCGGAATCCGTGCACAAATCCACGCCCCGGATGGGAAAATCCATACAGAGTCCACTCCGAATCCGTACTGCAGAATGCCCTGCCCGATTCCTGGAGCTGAGCTGGGGCCCCCCTCCCTGGCGCGCGGAGCGCGCCAGGCTGCGCGGGAAGCGCCGCCACAGGGGGGGAGGGGCTCCCAGAGAAATCCGTGCGGACCTCGGCAAGTTGACGCGCCTGCAGCGCTTTGGTCGGCGGCGAACGAAGGGGGGGAAATGAGAAGGGGCGGGCCGTCCCCCAGCCTTCGGAGAAGTTTCCGAAGCCTTCCCCGAGGGCAAAGAGAGCTTCTCAGAAGGCGCGAGGGCTTCTGAGAAGCCCCGCCGCCTTCTGAGAAGGCCTCCTCCTTCTCATTTCCCCCCCTCGCTCGCCGCCGACCTTGATCTTCGAGCTCCATCTTCAGCCGCTTGAACACCTCGGCCAGCCCCTGGTACTCGTTCTCCACGTATTTGTTGGCCTTAATGTTTATCATTATGTGCTTCCCCCCAAAAAAAACCTCGCCCGCAGCCCCGCAGGCTGGGCCCCTGGGCCGCGGCCCCACGGAAAAACTGGGGCGCCCCTCCGCGGATGCCCCGCTCGGCGAGCGTCCGCGCGCAGAGGCCACCCAGACAGGGCCCGAGCAGGTGGGGTCGGACGGAGGATCGCGCCTCATCGGCGACGCATCGGCGACGCACTGGCGATGCATCGTCGACGTCGGCGGCGCATCGGCGACGTCGTCGTGGAGAGAATCGGGATCCACCCAGAGCCGCATCGGCGATGCATCAGCGAGGCGGCGCGATCCTCCGACCCCATCTCCTCCGACCCCATCTGGGAGGCCTAGAGTGAGACCGCCTCCGCGGAATCGCGCCCCCCAGTCGTTTCGCCGCTAGTGAGACCTGCGCCACGCGGCTCTCCAGCGCTGCCATCGCGAGGTCGCCGCTGCTGCCCGCGGATGATCCAAAATGACACCCCCACTGCGGCGAAGCCAGGACGAGGATAAACTCGGGCGAAGATCCATCGAGAACCTCTGAGATCCAGCGGCTCTGGATGATTTCTCGAGCGCCGCGGCCTTCGCAGAGTGACAGCATTCCGGAACGCTCTGGAGCGGATTGATCCTCGTTCTCGGGGAAGCCAAAAAGTACCGATACCGCTACTCCACGGACCTCTCCTGGGGTGCGATCTGACCAGAATTTCGGGGCGAATCCAGCGGTGGCGACGAGGGCCTCCGAGGAGGCCCAAGAAGGGGACAACGGGCGAAGGGTAGAGGCATGAGGGTAGAGGGGGAAACGGGCGAAGGGTAGAGGTATGAAAACCTCTTCCTCCTCCGAGTTCTGGCCCCGTCCAGCCCACCCCCGACGGCGGCACCCGCGGGCACCCCTGGCAGGCAGGGGGCCGGGACGCGGGCGGAGATGGCGGCAGCCGTCGAGGCGGGCGCGCGAGGGCGGGCCGCTCCCCACGGCATCTGGACGCGAGCTCCCCCCGCAGGCAGCCCACGAAAACTGGGCCGCCGAAATCCAGGGCGCGCTCGCCGGACGGAGGCGTCGGCCTGCCCGAGTTCCGGCGCACTCGAGTCTCGTGCGCTCCTCTCCCCGACGTGGACGTGTTATTATTTGCTCGGCGTTTCGACCTTGGGCGGAAGGGGGGCGGGGACGGGGGGTCTGGCTCTGGACCTCTGCTCAGTGCGACTGCTTGGAGCCGTGCGTCCTATGAGGGAGGCTCCACCTGCCCGAAACAGGCGCCCAAAAACAGCCACGATCCACTCCATGAGGGGGGGGGGAGGGAGGGGCGCGAGGGCCCTCGCCGATCGGCAAGACGATACATAAAAAACGCTCACGATTACGACACTCGGCAAGACTGCCTCACCCCCCGCTTAGGGAAACTCAGAGGTACCGATACCGCTACTCCCTGGACCTCTCTTGGGGTGCGCACTGATCAGAGTTTCGAAGCGAATCCAGCGGTGGCGACGAGGGCCTCCAAGGAGGCCCAAAAAGGGGAACACGGGGGAAGGGTAGAGGTGTGAGTATCTTTTCCTCCTCTGACCGCTGTGGCGGGGGGGGCGGGGGTGTCATTTTGGGTGCTGAGCTCGCGCCGCCGTCGTGACCGTGGCCCTCGGCGCCGCCGCCCCCGAACAGGGCGAAGTGAGGCGGCATCGCGCGGCGCGCCCGCGAGGGATCGGGCTTGGCTGGGGCCCCGCCAGGGGCCCCCTCTGGGGCAGCGCGGCGGCGGGGGGGCGCAGTGCCACACCCTCCTCCTCCTCCTCCTCCTCCTCCTCCTCCTCCTCCTCCTCCTCCTCCTCCTCCCCTCCTCCTCCGCCTCCTCCTCCTCCTCCTCCTCCTCCTCTTCCTCCTCCTCCTCACGTGGTTCCCAGACCCCTCGATCCATACAAAAAAAACATGACGGAAGGTGTTTCGCCATTTTCGGCCTCTTGGGGCCCTCGCGGAGCCTCGGGACTGTCAAGAAACGATTCGGGATGAAAAATCTGTCCCAGGCAATGGGTCGAGACATCTGGGGGCCGATGCTATGAAAGAATCATGACGTCGGTGGTTCTGGGTTAGAGGGTTCCCAGATAGGGTCCGAGTAGATGCGGTCGGAGGATGGCGCCGCATCGCAAATGCATCGCCGATGGATCGGCGACGCCCGCGTGGAAGAAATCGGGCTCCACATCGAGATGCTGTACTGGGGGGACGACGCCCCCCCCTATTCTCCTATTCCACTAACGTGAACCGCCGTCACCCGTAGAAACACCAGCTACGGCAGACTTGGTTGAGTGGTTCTGGCCAATGTGTTTGGCTTCGGGACAGAATTGCTGACCGGCTCCCCTTTACTGGGGGCCTGTCTATGTCCGAGTGTACTCACGTCGAGGATTGACAGAAAACCATTTGGCAAAACAGCCCTTAGCGAAAGCTGCCAGGGGCACTCCGCGTGCGGACGGCACCGAATTCCGAGTGGACCCCAGCGGGGTAACTAGTCGACGTCCAAAAACATCCGAATGTATCCGGCGAAAGGCGCGACGATGGGCTCGACGGGGGACTACACCCGCACGCACGAATGCCAATGTCGACCGAACCAGTTCAGATTTCCTCAGTCGACTTGTCTGGGCAGGCTTTCTCGCAATACCCAATCACGCTTGCGGGAATATTTCAAATTTCTCTTGGGACCGATGTAGACCTGTCAGATGAAGGCCCAGAAGCCGCAGACCCCGATGTCCGAACATGTGATGTCCGCCCCCCGAGGCCCGTTATCGAGCCCCCGGACCACCAAAAATGGATCCGGGACGAACAACTACCCCCGGAGAAGGGGTCGGGCCCTCTGGGGCCCCACACTGAACAAAAACGCATCGCCGCGTGTCTGGGAATGTGCACCTCCACTCTCCCCGACCAGGGCCCATCCTGGGCCAGCCTGGGCACCAGTCCTCCTCCGCCTCCCCCTCCGCCTCCGCCTCCTCCTCCTCCTCCTCCTCCTTCGTCGTCGTCGCGGCGGAAAGTATTTTCATTCTACTGAGGGGGTCAATACACCCGGACACTCCTCACCCTGCCGAGGCGTCGCAGACGTTCCCCGATGATACCGCTGTTGTCCAGTCATCGGCCACCAAATCCTGGATGGATTCCTCGCACGGTTCCTTCTCAGAAGATCTGGCTGTGAACCCAAGAGACGCTCAGCGCGATATGTTCCGTGCAAGTATGTAGCCACTTCAGTGAATGAGGATGCGACGAGGCCGCCACACCAGCTGAGTGAAAGGGGGGAATGATGGTTGATCGTGGTTGTCCGTCGCGGGCGGTCCTCGTCGAACGGTCAGAAACTGCCTTGAAAGCGAAATAGCGTGTCGCTCCGCCCCGTGGGACGGGAGGCTGGGAAAGGCTCGGGACGTTGAAGCTTGGGGACCAGGACGTGGTTAGCACGTCGCGCCGAAGCATGGTGGGCCAAGACCAGCGGAGCGACTCTTTCGGAAAAGTCCACGACCGCAAGCCAGATAAAACCGCACATTAAGCCGGATCGGGCCGGGCTGATCTGGATCGGACCAGGTTCGTCCAGCCGAATACCCCGGCGCAGCTCTGGCTCAACCCCCCCAGGAGCTACCCGCCAAAGAACAAAACAAACAAGAAAAGCTAACCTGAAAATTAGAGGGGGCCTGAACCCCCAGAAAATCTGCCACGAGGGGGGGATGAAGCCAAGTCCCCTCAAAATCGGTCCCCGGATCCCTCCCAGGGTCCACCAGGTGTGGTTTTCACCCCGGATGCGCTTCTGACGGCCTCTGGGGCCCGCACACGGCCCCCGGAGGCCGAAAGGGCCAAAAACCTCTTCGAGCCCCGCGCCCCGGACCTGGCCACCCTTCCTGCTGGCCAGAACCAAATCCTGCTGGCCAAAACCTATTCGAGCCCTCCCCTCCTCCCCGGTCCCTCCCCGATTCTCCTCCCCGACTCTGGCCGCCCTGCCCGCTGGCCAGACACACAATGCAGGGCCCTCTCGGACCCCCGGGCGGCTCCAAGCGGGGGGGCACGAAGGAGCAAGCGGCGGCTCTCTCGCAGCCCGCAGCCCCCCCGAGGGGACGGCGAGGCCTCGCCGCCCTGCGCTGGACGCCACCCCGCTGGACCTCCCAGGGGGGCCCCCGAGCGTGGCGAGGGCTCCGCACGTCGGAGCCCCCCGAAGACGACGAGGTCTCCTGCACAAGCACTGGGAGGCACACAAAGTGTTCGGGCGCGCCTCGGAGTGGGGACGAGGGAGGAGCGAGGAGGAAGAGAGGAAAGCAGGGTGGAAGAGGAGGAGGAGGAGGAAGAGGAGGAGGAGGAGCAGGAGGAGGACGAGGAGGAAATGGAGCCCAGCCAGTGGGGGCCACGATCGACCCTGGCCTCACAAGGTGGCCGTGATCGAACGCCAAGCAGCACACTGCCAGAGCCACTGGAATGGGGCTGGTGGAGTGCAAGGCGAGATCCGCCGTCCTGTCCTAGATTAGAGGCCTCCTAGATGGGGTCCGAGTAGATGAGGTCGAAGGATCGCGCCGCATCGCCAACGCGTCGCCGATGTATCGGCGATGCATCGTCGACGTCGGCGACGCATCCGCGACGTCGGCGTGGGGAAAACAGCGCTCCACATCGAGCCGCATCGACGATGCGTTCGGCGGTGCGGCGCGATCCTCGACCCCATCTGCTCGGACTCCATGTGGGAGGCCCAGATAGATGCACGCGGTCGGAAGAAGGAGGAGGAGGAGGAGGAGGAGAAGGAGGAGAAGGAGGAGGAGGAGGGAGCAAGACCCCGAGGTCATGGCGCCCATTCTCCAGCCGGGCATGCTCGCCCGGCCTGTCGGGCCGCGGGGCCTCACGGATCGACGCGGCAAGAGATCGTGCAGCAGCACGAGGGGATCCGGGGCTCCCGGCCGCGAGTTTGTCACGACGCTGCGCGTTGTCGCTACCTCGCATCGCAGGGGAGGCCGGGATTACCAGCCTGGAACATATCCCTATCCCTATGCTGGGCACCCCCTCATCACGATGCCCATCTCAGGGATTCCCTTACCTTTGAGGGCGAATCCCTGAGATTGTCATCGCCTTTTGGCGTGTCAATCTCAGGGATAGGGATACGTTCGAGGCTGGTAAAGGGAGGAGCAAAGGTAAATGGTTACCGCGCTCGCTGCCGGCCTTCAGGGTGGAGCGGGCAGGAGGGAGCGTGGGAGGGAGGGAGGGAAGAGGAAGAGGAAGAGGAGGGATGAGCGTTCGGGGCGACTGCGTGTCCATAAGATCCGACGTGGCGAAACAACACAGCATCGTGACAAGTCACAAC